GCAGAGGAGGTGGGACGGGCGTCAGCCTTGAGCGATGGAGCTAACCGTTGCCGCGGTTGGGACCTGGATTCCTGTCCTGCCTGTATTGACTGCATGGCTGTGGGCTTCATCTCATCTCTCTAGGGTTCCACTTCTCACCTACTGAATTGGGCAATAAGGATGCATGCCTCCCTTCCAGGGAGGGAGGACACAGCCAAGTCCCCCATTACCCCCCACCCCCAAAGAACAAAACAGCAAACATTTATAGATACCAAATCATTCATACAAATTATCCTATTAGGTCCTGCAACGAAGGTAATATTGTACCCATTTCACAGACAAGGAAACTAAGGTACAGTGAACTTTTTCTCACAGCCAGTACGCAAAACCAGGCATTTGGCCAGAGATGACAAGCGAGTGCAGATGGTCAGGGGCTTAGTCTGTACTGAGTCCTCACAGCAATCCTGTGTCCCTGCCCACCCACAGTGACTTGGCCAGCCCGGGCATGGCGGACCCAGTGGCGGGCATCGCGGGCTCGGCAGCCAAGAGTGTGCGGCCGTTCCGCTCAAGTGAGGCCTACGTGGAGGCCATGAAAGAGGACCTGGCTGAGTGGCTCAACGCCTTGTATGGCCTGGGTCTGCCCAGCGGTGGCGAGGGCTTCCTGACGGGGCTGGCCACAGGCACCACCCTGTGCCAACATGCCAACGCCGTCACTGAGGCCGCCCGCGCTTTGGCCGCTGCCCGCCCGGCCCGCGGTGTGGCCTTCCAGGCACACAGCGTGGCGCCTGGCTCTTTCATGGCCCGAGACAACGTGGCCACTTTCATCGGCTGGTGCCGAACAGAGTTGGGTGTGCCCGAAGTGCTCATGTTTGAGACTGAGGACCTGGTGCTGCGGAAGAACGAGAAAAGCGTGGTGTTGTGCCTGCTGGAGGTGGCGCGGCGCGGGGCCCGCCTCGGCCTGCTCGCCCCTCGCCTCGTGCAGTTTGAGCAGGAGATTGAGCGGGAGCTCCGCGCTGCACCTCCGGCCCCCAATGCACCCGCTGCTGAGGAGGACGCCACCGAAACTGCCACCGCGGCAGGGCCTCCTGCCCGTGGGCCCCGCATGACACCCAGCGACCTGCGCAACCTGGACGAGCTGGTGAGTCCGCCAGTGAGTGTGCACACTCGTGGCCCTGCTCGTGCCCCCGCTGTGCACCAGCGACAGGACAGCCTGCCCCACAGAGTGGGTGCACGTGTTGAGCACCAAGTGTATACCTGGCCCCAAGGAGAGGAGCAGACCCAGAGAGGGAGAGGTGCTGGGAGAGGTCACCCAGTAGGGCCTGGGATAGAATCGGAGCTCCCCCCTTTAGGGGCTTCCCGTGTGCCAGATCAGCTCCTCCATCCAGGGGGCCGCATGATTTGAACCCTTCTGTATGCACTTGGGTGCTGGACAGTTGGATCCACAACATCACAGAGCTCGAGGCTGAGTGGATACCTGTGGTGCTTGGCCCTTAGCAAGGTGCCTGGCACACAATAGGCTCTCAGTGAGTGGCGAGGGCAGGCCCCAGGGGCTCTACAGGCCCACCCAGGCCCCAGGGGCTTATCTGGGAAGCCAGGCCCAGAGCTTTCAGTGCTGCTAGGAGCCAGAGGTCCTCTTAGGAGGACAGGATTAGCTCTGCTGTGCACATAAGAGGTGACGGGCCGGCCCCTGGCTCCCTCCTTCTTTTCCCAGGACCTAAATATCCCTGACACCCCCGCAGCCTGGCCAAGAGTTGCCTTCTTATCAGAAGGGTAGGACTATGATGTGCCTATCCCAGAGGGGGTAGCCGGACAGCCGTGGGCAGAGGCTGTCCCCCCTCCCCTGTCTTGGGCCAGAGTCACCCAAGGCTCCACCTGCTCATTTCCTCTGGCTCCACTGTGGGCTAGGAGGTGGGCAGGGCCACCCACACAGCCGGCCTGGTGGCTCCTGGCTTGGGGGTGGGGGTGGGGCATGTGGGCAGATGTGTGCTCCCTGGGCGCGTGGCCTGTGTGTGCATGCTGGTATGTGTGTACTCTACGTGTCTGCAGCGCTGATACGGTGTGGGTTCCCTGCACTCGTGGCCCGTGGCCCGCGCCCTCGCAGGACCTGGCCTCCCGGTGCGCCTCAGCCTACATGCCCGTGAGGCATGGGAGTGAGTGGGTAGGGAGTGAGGACGGGTTCCAGGGCTTCCCCACGCTCAGGGGCCGCAGGGCTGTGCCTCACTGGGGGTCCCAAGCCCTGGCCTGAGCATAGCTCCTGACCTCCGATGGCCAGAGGGGAAGGAGAGCTGGTGAAAGGTCAAATGTAGAGGCTGCACCCAAGCCTGGGGCAACACGCAACACAATCTATGTCCCCTTTCCCCGGAAGGACCTGCTTCCTCCTGACCCTGGACCTGCTGACATCAGGCCCCAGGAGGAGGGACTTGATCCCTGACCTCCAGCCTCTCCTCTCTGACCTCAGGTGAGGGAGATCTTGGGCTACTGCACCTGCCCAGACCAGTTTCCCATGATCAAGGTCTCAGAGGGAAAGTACCGCGTGGGAGACTCCAGTCTCCTCATCTTCGTGCGGGTAAGAGTTAGGGGCTGCCTGGCCAACAGCAGCCCACAGTGGGCTGCCAGGCCCATCAGACAGGCCGTGACCTGCCCACTCTGGGCTCCCACAGGTGCTGAGGAGCCACGTGATGGTGCGCGTGGGTGGCGGCTGGGACACTCTGGAGCACTATCTGGACAAGCATGACCCTTGCCGCTGCTCCTCCTCAGGTCAGTGCCCTTGGGAGTGACGGGGGATGGGGCCGGCAGAGGGTTTGTCTCTGTGGCTCCACCCTTCAAATGCCACCTGTCCTCTCATCCCGCAGCCCACCGCCCGCCCCAGTCCAGAGCCTGCACCTTCTCCCCACAGAGGGGGTCTCCCACCCCCAGCCCCCGTGCTGGCAGCCCAGCCCCTGGGGCCGAGCGGCGGAGCTCCCGGACAGAGGTGACACCCATTAGCTTACGCAGCTCCAAGGAGGGAACTGAGACCCCACTCAGGTGAGAAGCAGGACAAAGGGGTGAGGGGTCCACAGTGGGGAGGCATCCGCCCTGGCCTGGATGACGAAGGAGCTGTGCTCCAGAGTGACTCACCCTGGGAAAAGTTCCCGTGGGTGGGGGCAGGCCTGGCTTCCTATCTCTATGGCAACACAAGCAACCCAACAACACAGCTGGGGTGGGCCCTGGGGGCTGGGCGGCAGCCAGTCCTACCGCTTCCCTCTGGCCTGCCCAGGAAGCTGGAGGCCTGGGGAGGGGGAGCTCAGAGCCTGGCGTCTTCCGCTGCCTGGGGGTGGGTGGTGGCCCTGGCTGCCGGAAGCCGCCGCACAGTGGCTCACTTCTCTCTGGAAGTCCCCAGGACACACACCAAGCCCTTGATTGCCCCCACCACAGGTGTCTTCTCCGCCCCTAACCACTCGGCTGCTTGTTCCTTCCACTGCCTGGTCTTTCTACAGGCCAGTCCTCTCTCCGAGATCCCCCATCTCTCTCTCTTGTTCCTTGCCCCAGGGCCCGGGACCAGCTGCCCCCCCATCCCCGCTCCCGCCGCTGCTCTGGCGACAGCGACTCCTCAGCCTCCTCAGCCCAGAGTGGCCCCCTTGGTGCCCGCAGTGAAGACTCTGGCACTGGCTCCCGAAGGGAACGGCCCAGCCGGAGGCTGACCACAGGCACCCCAGCCTCCCCGCGACGGCCCCCAGCTCCGCGCAGCCAGTCCCGAGACCGGTTGGATCGAGGGAGGCCACGTGGCGCCCCAGGAGGCAGGGGAGCCCAGCTGTTGGCCCCCAGTCCTGCCCGACGGGCCCGGAGCCAGAGCCGTGAGGGGCAGGCCACCCTGCTTGTGCGCAGGGACCGAGATGGGCAGCACTCATGGGTGCCCCGGGGCAAAGTCAGTGGGGGCTCAGGCAGGAGCACTCCCCAGACCCCCCGGGCTCACAGCCCTGCAGCCCCCCGGCCTCTGCGGGCCTCCAGCCCCAGTACAGAGTTGGGCACCACACCGGCCAGTGTCTTCCGCACCCCCCTGCAGCTTGACCCGAAGCAGGAGCAGCAGCTGTTTCAGCGCTTGGAAGAGGAGTTCCTGGCCAACGCCCGAGCCCTTGAGGCTGCTGCTGGCGGGACCCTCACTGGACCAGCCTCAGACCCAGCTCGACCCCCAGACCCTCCAGCTCCTGACTCAGCCTACTGTTCCTCCAGCTCCTCCTCTTCATCCCTCAGTGTCCTGGGTAGCAAGTGTGGCCAGCTTGGGGACTCTGGCCGGACGGCCAATGGGCTGCCGGGGCCCCGAGGCCCAGCCCTGTCCAGCTCTTCTGATGAAGGCAGTCCCTGCCCTGGTGTAGGGGGCCCACCAGATGCACCTGGGAGCCCCTTGGCCGGCCTGGAGCTCCCGAGGACCTGGGCACGGGGCCGGGTGGACACACAGCCAGACCGAAGACCTTCACGCATCCCTACGCCACGGGGCCCTCGCCGCCCATCTGGATCCACAGAGCCCGGGTCCTGGCATGCCCTGCACTCAGTGAGCCCAAGGGCAGAGCCAGATTCCTGGATGTGATGGACCAGCCAAGCTGCCCCCAGGCCCCTATTCCTTCTCTTCCCTTTCCTTTGTGGCCTTAACCCCTTTGCATCAGGGAGCCCCACCCCCACCCCTGCCTCTTCGGTACCAGACCTCATGGGACCAGACCCCTTGGGACCACATGGCACAATGGGACCTCTGTTGTACATTCCGGTTGGGGGATGAGCGTTGCTATTTAATTACTAATATTATTGAATGCCTTAGAGGAGGCCAATGAGGACCCTTCCCGAGGTTCTCTGGCCCTGCAGAGCCTGACAGTAAAGTATTTGTTCCAGCCGTTTGTGTCTGCTTCTTGGGGTCAGCCTTGGGGTACCTTTTAGGGGACCCTTATTCCATGTAGTGATTCTAGCATTAACTGCCAGAGAGCAATGCCTGGCAGCTCTGACCTCTAAGGTTAAGATCATGCTACCCATCCAAGAAATGCCAAATGCTCTTGTATGCTTGCATTGTTTCCCCCTTTATTACCTCCTGAGAGGTGCGACTTAAGATTGTCCACCGAAGCCCCAGAAGCTACCTGAGAGCTTCTAATCAGATTCACAGCAAGTCCCTTTCATTCAATGGGATTGTAACCCAGTGAGGTCCCAGAAAGGACTTATCTTGCGCAACGTAGCCCGGGGCCTGGTTGGGTCCAACGAAGCACAAAGAAGAGTCCTGTCGCTCAAGAGACTGGGTGGGAGGTTGCCCCATCCAATCCGGGAGGAGGCTTTGTCTTGTCCAATCCGAGAGAAGTTGGGCAATTTCGTCCAATCCGGGTAACCGGTTGTTTATCAAACTGGGACCCTCCCCCCACCGTAGGCGGCGGCGTCGTCCAATTCGGTCACATGAGGCTGCAGCGCGCCGGATGCAGCGCCCCCTGCAGGCGCAAGGCCGGGTGCGCGGGACGCGCGCGCACCAAAGCGCAACGCAGCAGCTCGCGGAAGAGACGCAGCACGTGCCAGTTGTACTTGGCGGAACACTCGAGGTAGCCGCAGCGCCAGCCCCTGCGCACCAGGGCGGCCAGCGCGCGCCGAGGCCCGAAGCGCAGCCGCTGCCGGTCCCGCTTGTTGCCTACCACGAGGATGGGCGCTTCAGGTGCGCCCGCCGGCCTGGGGGCCAGATGGGGATGAGGGCTGTGGTGCCGGACGCGGACAGCCCACAGCCGGGGAACGCTCCCACCCCAAGGGGGTATGTACACTCCTGCGGCTGGAGACCCGCCCCAGGAAACACGAGACCCGTGTGGCCAAAGACTGCATAGCTGACAGACCCGACACCCCGCCAGGACTGAGGAAGAACCCACCCATTACCCTCAGGCAAAGGCCCAACCAGACAGGCAAAAGTTCCCCTCCTCTGCCCGCACACACCTGTGGCCGCGTCCCTACCTGGTCTCTGAGATGCGCTGCCGTAGCGCCTTCACGTAGTCAAAACTGTCCGGGCTGCAGATGTCGTAGACGAGCACGAAGGCGTCCGTGTCCTGCAAGCTCCAGTCCTTGGGGTCCAGCCACTCCTGGGGCGGGAGGCCGGAATTTGCCAGAGACTCTCACTCTCCCACGCCCAGATCCTCTGAAGGGCCTTGACGCTAAACCCGCAGTTTATCCTCAGCCCTCGCCACCCTCTGTGGGCCATATGCTCAGGCCCCACTGTCCTCAGGGTCGCCAGGGTAAGGACGTCTACACGTGTCTGAAGCCGTCAGCCAGCAGCCCTCCTTCACTCTGGGCCTCCTCTCTACCCACTGCTTCTCTTCCTCCTTCCAGCTTTCCAAAGCTCAGTTTGTGTCACGCCCCTTCCCTCCCTCCCTGGTTACTACAGCTGCCTCTGAGACGAATTCCAAAGCACAGGGCTCCGTGTTCCCCAGGCCCTCAGAGATCACTGATTATGGACAGCTGTATGCATTCAGGCCTCCCCGCCTAACACATGCTGCTCTTGTCACGTGGAAGGCTTCTGCCACTTCATTTAATCAAAACTTCACTCATCAGGGGCACCTAGGTGGCCCAGTTGGTTACGCCTCTGACTTCCGCTCAGGTCATGATCTCATGTTTCATGAGTTTAGGCCCTACCTATATCCGGCTCTGTGCTGACCACTCAGAGCCTGGAGCCTGCTTTGGATTCTCTCTCTCTCTCTCTCTCTCTCTCTCTCTCTCTTTCTCTCTCAGATAAGTGAACATTAAAAAAAAAAAAAACCTCAGGGGCACCTGGGTGGCTCAGCTGGTTAAACACCACCTTGGGCTCAGGGCATGATCTCGTGGTTTGTGAGTTCTAGCCCTGCATCCAGCTCTGTGCTGACAGCTCAGAGCCTGGAGCCTGCTTCAGATTCTGTGTGTCTCCCTCTCTCTCTGTCCCGTCTCCTGCTCATGCTCTGTCTCTTTCTGTCTGTCAAAAATAAATAAACATTAAAAAAAAAAAAAAAAAGACTTCACTCATCATTCCAGGGTCAGCCCAAATGTCACCCCTTCCAGGAAGCCCTGCTTAATCCTGCTTGCTCTTTCTTCTTCACCTTTCCCAGGCATCTAGCTCCAAGAATTCAAAGTCTGTCCTGGACTTTGAACAAATTACCGAAATGAGGCTTTCTTCCAACCAAGTCACAGAAATAAGGGAGCAGAAAATGACCCTCCCCCCACCCCTGACAGTACACCCCTGTGTCTGGCCCCATCCTCCCCCACCGAGGCTCTGCTTAAGGTCCCAAACATACAACGCTCACCCTCAGGAAGGCACAATCATGCTCCGCCATGCACTGATCCAGACCCACCAGCGGAGGCAGACAAATATACAGGCACTTAAGAGTGAAAAAAGGCCGCTTTTCAAAATCGCCTGGCCCCGGGCCTGATCTTGGGCAACTCCAGGCCAGCAAGAAGGAGACAGACACACAAGTCACCAGGTCACATTCATCCTTCAATCCACGAACACAGGCACTCCGGGGCTGTCCAGGTGGACATGCACGTGTGCACCAAGCACCCCCCCCACACACACACACACGCTGTTACACGACCCTGCCCACCCCTCGAGCTGCTACCTCTGGACCCCCAGGGTTCTGACTCGGGGGAGCGCCGTCGCCGTCGCGGATGCTCAGGTCGTAGACCGCGCCGTCGAGCAGCACCGCGGGCCGGTAGAGGCGTGGCCCGTCCGTGGGTCGGTGGCGCTCCGGGTAGTCACCGAACAGGAACTGGCGGATGATGGCCGTCTTGCCTACGCCAGGGGCCCCCAGCACGGCCACCCGCAGGCTACCCCCCATGGCCCGCGAGCGCTGCCGCGCCCTACGCTGGAAAGGCTCATGGGCCAGCGCCGCGCCGCGCGCTCCGCGTGCCCAGACCCATGCGCCCCGACCCCACGCTCCTCATGGCCCCCGGGAGCACCCGGGACCCGGAGAGGCTAGGCCAGAGGACGCAGCGGGGGAGGCGGGAGGGCAGACAGATAGTCGATCAGGCCGACGGAGGACGCACGAGCAGCTCCGGCAGGTGCCGAAGCTCGGAAGAGAACAGACCCCGCGCGCCGCGTAGACACCGCCGCCTCCGACTCGCAGCGCGACTGGAGGCGCCTCCCGCAGCCGGAGTACCGAGTTCCGACCTCCTGGCCCCGCGGGTCCCGCAGCGGAGCGAGGCGCGGGGACGGCGCTGCCTCTCGGAGCCTCCGTCCCTCCGTCCTTCTGTCGCTCCGGCGCCCTGAATCGTCTCCCCAGCCAGCGGCGCGAGCGAGCGCGCGGAGCCTCCCGGAGGCGGAGATGAGGTAACCGCCCGCCGCCCCTCCCACCTCCCCCTCTACCCACCCGGGACGCCCCTCCCGGGAAGGGTCGCAGGAAGGTGACTAGGGCGCAGGGAGCCCGGGGAGGGACCCAGCCCCCTCCGCGTCCCGCACTCCTCTCACCCTGCTCCAAAATAGAAGTTCCTTCCCGCCCACGTCCGCGTCCGCTCCTCCAAGCACCGCTCCCCCAAGCTGGCTCCAGACAAACCCAGCCGCTGGAGTCGGGCCGCCCAGGGTTGAATCTGGCCCCAGCTGTGTGACCTTGGGCGAGTCACCGCACTGCGCTGGCTCTCTGCTCCATTTCCATCAAAGGCAGACATCTTTCTTGATAACCTACTACGCGCGGGGCTCTTTACTAAGCTGTTAGCTAGTGATCTCTGAATCTACAGCCTTATCCAGGTTATCTCTGAGAGAAGAAGATAGGCTGGAGAGGGGTCTCCAAGGTTCGGGGACAGTAGGTGGCCCCTGAGCCACAGCCTTGTGGTCTCTTCTGAGGAGCTGTCCCTCTTTTGTCCTGCACACAAGGATAAATGGCTAGCATTAAACAAAGTATCGAATGGCCGTCATCCAGGTGGGGCTGAACTGAGTGTGCTGAGCTCAGTACACACTGGGTCACAGCATCTCAGCCCAAAATCCCTGTCCCAACAAGGCCAAAAGATCCAGAAACTGGTCACCACCACCTCTGTCACGGCTAAGGCCAAGTTTTCTGCCTAAGTCTCCACCTGTAGCTTCACTCAAAACCCAAATTCCCCCCTCCCTGGAGCTGGTGAGAAACTCCTTCACCAACACAGCTTGGAAGGTCTGGGTTTGGCCAGCCCCCCATGCTCTGCCTCTGCTCACCTCCTCCCTGCAGAGGAGGAGCTCCCACTTCTCTGACCAGCTGCCTAGGCACTGGGTGTGAAATGTACAGACATCAGTGTTTCTGCACTGACCAAGGGTTTTCACTTACCCATCTCTTCAACAAATATTCCCAGTCTTACTGCTTGCCAGGACTGGAGGGGTGGGAAGGAAGAGGGAAGGAAAAAAATCCCACCTTAGTAGAATAGGGTCTAGAACACATGGGATCCAGGAATTGCAGGAGCACAGACAACAAGCCCACTCCAGCCTAAAGGGAGTGGAGGAGAGAGAAGGAGCTCAGCCCTGAAATGAGGAGAGGGCACATCTCCAAGAAGCAGGTGATGGCAACAGAGGGTGTTTCTCCAGAGCACTGGTTGTGTTTTCATCCTCCCACACCAGATAGGGGAACTGGGTCTGCTTTCACTCTTCTCCTCGGCCACTAGGGAGCTCAGAATGACTTATGGCTACCTCTGGCAGGTGTTCTGGGTCTTCAAGCCCATTTCCTGGCTTCATTTTCCTTTTCTGCCATGATTCTTTCCCTTCACCCAACTTCCCTACTCACTTTCTGACATTCCAAGCTTCTCGGTTTTGTGAGCTCCCTCAATTCCTTGTGGGGAACAAGGCTGAGCATTAATAAACTAAGCCCCACTTCCCTTTTGGCATTCAGCAGGGTTTGTGGCTGACATCAGGATGGTCATCCTTAAGGCCCTGGGTGGGACCCACACCTCTGACTGGAGCACCCTCTCTTCTTGCTCCTTGGGAACAAGGCCACCCTCAAGGAGCCAGTTCTGGGTGTCCTTCCTCTAGAAAGCCTTCCTTGCTTCACTCTCTGACAGAGTACGTTTCTGGGCAAGGCTTCTTCAGGACCAGCAAACAGGACTGTGTGTGTGTGTGTGTGTGTGTGTGTGTGTGTGTGTGTGTGTGTGGTAGGGGGGCGGATCTCTGGGTCCCAGTGTGGTTTCTCAGTGCATGGTTTGGAAATGATGAGACTGTCCTAATAAAGCTCCTACAAAGGCCTGCAGACTGCACAGGGGTGACCCATTCCTAAGGAAACTCGTGCCTCTAGCAAGAGGTCCCATTTAGCAAGGGCCTGTGATGGGCCCCGCCCCGCACCCATGCTCACTGAGGCCCGGCAACGGGATGCAGTGGCTTGCCCGGAATTGCCTGGCAGAAAAGACAGCACCGCCACTGGAACCTGGGACGTTTGGGCCATCGAACCAGACTTTCTGAGCAGCCCAATTTTACCTAGGCCGAGGGACCAGAGGGCCTCCAGGAGAAGATCAGCCAAAGCTCCTGTCCTCGGTGGCCACTGAGCCACGATGGGAGTGGGCAGCCCCACGCTGGGCTTCCCAAGGACTAGCAAGCCGGAGAACTCGGGCTGGGGTGTGAATTTCAAAGTTTCTCTCATCGGGCCCCTCACTCCTTTCCCGAAGGAGAGGCAGCCAGGGTGCTGTCTGCTGCCCCATGGCTCCCAGGCTCCTCCCGGGCTCCAGAGAGCACTCGCCAAGCATCCGTACATCTTTTCCTTCAGGACTTGGTGCTGGGCCCCTGGTGGCCGAGCTGGTTCCTGCCTCCCCTCTGTGGCTTGTAAAGGAGTCACACACGTAGCCACATACAGACAGGTAGAAACAGGAGCACTGGACTGGCTCAGGCCTGGGGGCTGAGAGGACCTAGGGGAGGCACCGGCCTACGGAGGTTGAGAGCTCAGGAAGGGCCTAATGCCACAGCTAAGCTGAGCCCTGAAGGGTTAAGCCGCAGAAAGTTGGGTGGGCTGGGAGGCTGCTGAGTGGCCCTGGGCGGGGGCAGGCTCCGGATGGAGAATTCTGAGCCCACAGCCTCCCAATGCCAGCCTGCTGGGCACCCCCCTTCCCTGCCACCTGTGCCCACATGGCTTCTTCCCAACCTGCCTGATACCAGCCCTTCCCTGAGGTCAAGCACCCTGGACTGCATCCAGCTCCCTGGGGGATTTGCTCTGGACCATGCCCCTGACCATGAATGTGGCCTGTCAGCGCGATTCCACTTGTGCACCAACAGTGACTCACTTCTGGAGCCCTGGATGGGGGGCGGTACCTTTATCTCTCAGATGCTTGGTGTCTAGTGGGGTCTTGGTCATCATTATAATGCCACCCATTGTAGCAGTCAGCCTCATAAAGGCCATCAGGACACAAGGGGAAGCACAGAGCAGGGTTTCCAGGTTTCTTAGGTTTGAAGCCTCTTTCCAGGAGTGTGTTATCTGTGCAAGTTACTTAAACTCTGTAAGCCTCAGTTTCCCTCTCTGTAATGGGATAACAATGGTCTTGACTTCACACAAGTTGTTGTGGGATGAGAGGAGATAAAACGGAGAAAAAAGCAAGACAACTCTAGTAAGGTTGGGGAGGGGCAAGATTTGTCAATATAAATTTCATTTTCATATGCAAATGGCTACTAGTTACAACACAGTGGAGGGACATGGGTGTCTACATGGGTAAGTACGCACAGACGGTTCCTAGCTGTGTCTGGTGAGAGGGCCTAAAGTGCCACCCCAGGAGAAACAAGCACACCTAGCACCTAGATCTTGGTTTCTAGGGCCACTCGCCAATGAAAGGAACCATGCTCCTTGGAGAAGTGGCTGATGCTAGGGGTTGGGGCGGGACTAATCCTAGTTGAGCCTGGAGCATCACGGAATGCTGGAAAGTAAGGAAGTCGAAAAGAAACAAGGGGATGGGGGCATATCAAAAGGACACAGAGGCTACCCAAAAGGGCTCCCAATGGCCAAAATGGACCAATTTAAGTGACAAAATAAATAATGTACTTTTGGATTAAGTCCAAATTGGAAAATAAATATCCATGAACCCAAACTGACATAAATGACTGAATTAATAAACATGAGAATATGAGAGAAGAAACAAATTCTTTCCTACAGAAGAATTTCAAATAATGATGTAGCTACTCCCTGCCCCCACAATCTTTCCCGAGCGTAGGCTGCACTTGGTGACTTTGCTTCTAAAGAACAGAATATGGAAAGGGGAAGGGAATAACTCCACAATGGAGAAAGCTGGAAACATCACCTTGGCCAAGTGATCCAGGTTAACGTGACAGTAATAGTCATACCAACGGTGTGTGCCCCTGATCTGATATGACGAGAAGGGCAGCTTTCTGGCCTTCTTCCTAAAATCCCGCAACCCCAGTCTAACCACCAGACAAACATCAGACAAACCAAAATTGAGGGATAGTCTACAATATACCCGATGAGTATTCCTTGAAATTGTCAAGGTCATGAAAAACAAAGTCTGAGAAATTGTCACAGATCATAGCCTGAGGAGACACAGCAACCACATGGAATGTGGGATCCAGGATTAGAACAAGGAACATGAGTGGGGAAACTAGTCAAATTTGAATAAACTCTGGAGTTTAGCTTAAAAATTATATATTCACATCATACACACACACACACACACACACACACACACACACACACACACACACACACAAGAACAGATAGGGTGCCTGAGTGGCTCAGTCAGTTGATCAAGTGTCTGACTTCAGTTCAGATCAGATCCACGGTTTGTGGGATCAAGCCCCATGTTAGGCTCTGCACTGGCAGTGTGGAGCCTGTTTGGGATCCTTCCCCACTTGTGCTCTCTCTCAAAATAAACTTAAAAAAAAAAAATGGAAAAGAGCCTATTTACAAAAATGAACCAAAAAAAAAAAAAAACCTCAATGAATCTTTTTAAGAATAATTTTTTAAAATATTTATTTATTTTTAAGAGACAGAAAGGGTGCGAGCAGGGAAGGGGCTTGGGGAGAGGGAGATCAGAATTGGAAGCAGGCTCCAGGCTCTGAGCTGTCAGCATGGAACCCGATATGGGGCTCAAACTTGTGGCGTGAGATCACAAGCTGAGCCAAAGTCAGATGCTTAACTGACTGAGCCGCCTAGGTGCCCCAAATCCTTGTAAGAAAAAATGTACATACGAGAACTTTTAAAATGAAGAAAACTTAAAATATTACACAGATGGGGCACCTGGCTAGCTCAGTCAGTGGAACGTGTGATTCTTGATCTTGGGATTATGGATTCAGGCCCCACACTGAGTGTAGAGATTACTTAAAAATAAAAATATTCTGAGGCGCCTGGGTAGTGCAGTCAAGTGACCAACTTCAGCTCAG